TTTACAATCGAACAATAGGTGGCGTTAATGTGTTGTGGCACCACTGTATTTGTGAACATTGACGTTTGTTATTGCGAAGCCAGTGGCAATTTAGAAATTTACTGAGTAAGTTGTTGATAGTGAACGTTTAAAAGAAGCAAGTTTGTGCTAAAATGGAAATCACCCGTGAAGGCTTACGTTGGATGATTTTTTATGATTTTAAAAAAGGCCTTACTCAACAACAATGCATAGAATCGCTTCGTGCAACTTTTGGTAATGAAGCACCATCAGAGAAGACTGTTTACAATTGGTTTGCAGAATTTCGTCATGGTCGTGCGTCCGTCAGTGATGAATGTCGAGAAGGTCGGCCAAAATCGGTTGTCATTCCGAGAAACATCGATGCTGTGCGCAACATGATTAAAGAAGATCGGCATGTGACTTACAGACAGATAGAGGCGTCTCTTAGGATATCGCAGACTGCAATACAATCGATTTTGCATGAACATTTAGGTGTGAGAAAGATATGTTCCAGATGGATTCCGCATAATTTGACCGAAGCGCAAAAAAAGGGTCGTGTTGATTGGTGTCAGGAAATGTTGAAAAAATTCGACCGAGGACGTTCAAAATCCGTATACAACATTGTTACAGGAGACGAAACTTGGATATATTCGTATGAACCTGAAAGCAAACAACAGTCTACTGTTTGGGTGTTTAACGATGAACCCAATCCCACTAAAGTTGTTCTGCACTTCCAAGAAAATGATCGCTTGTTTCTTCGGTTGTACTGGACACGTCGCAACCATTCCATTAGAGGATCGAAGAACTGTTAATGCCGAATGGTATACAACAATTTGTTTGCCAACGGTCTTCGATGAAATAAGGAAAAAGAAGAAAAAACGTCGCATCATTCTTCATCACGACAATGCCAGCTCCCATAAAGCACATCAAACAACTGAATATTTGAAGGAGAAAAACATCGAATTAATGTCTCATTGCCCGTATTCACCCGATTTATCGCCTAATGACTTTTTCTTGTTCCCCACTGTCAAACAAAAGATGCGCGGACAGCGATTTTCATCACCTCAAGAAGACTTACAAAACCATGTTTCTACGATATCAGCTTCAGAGTGGAAAAAATGTTTCCAGAATTGGTTTGAGCGTATGCAAAAATGCATAGACCTTAAAGGCGAATATTTCGAAAAGCAATAAAACACTTTGTTTCGAACTTGTTCGTTTCTGTTTCACTTTTTGTAAAAACTTAAAAGGCAACCCTCGTATATGCACAAGACGGTACAGTTTGTCAAGAAGTGGGTAAACCGATATAAGGAGACAAAAAATGTCGACGACTTCCCAAATCGGGGGTTAAAGCGGAAGACCGATACCTGACAAAACAAAATGATTCTCTGGCTTTTCGAGAAAAATCCGACTCTCTCATTACGGAAAGGTCAAGTATTTTTGGCTAAAAATGGTATAAATATCAGTACAATGACATTGAAACGACGTTTAGAGGAACTTGGTGTCAAGAGGCAGAGCACATTGTTGAAACCGTTGCTTTCAAAAAAGCACGTCGAAAATCGTCTGGCATGGGCTGATGAAAACAGAGATCGTGATTGGAGTAATGTAATATTCACTGATGAATCTTCGTTTTGGGCATGGTGTCCTATTAGGCGTGCTTGGTCTATCCATGGAAAACGGATGATTCAAAGAAGTGTGAAACACCCTATAAAAGTGCATGTTTGGGGTTGCTTTAACGCACGCGGTTTTGGGACTTTGTGCGCCTTCACAGACAATTTGAATGCACAAAAGATGGTGAAATTGTACCAAAGGGGACTTCTCACATCCGTGAAACGTTGGTTCAATCAAACCGAGGACCAATGGATATTGCAAGAAGACAACGACCCTAAACATCGAAGTCGCATCTGCACCCAATGGTCGCAAAACACCATCACCGTACTTCCTTGGCCATCGCAGTCCCCTGATGCAAACCCTATCGAAAATGTGTGGTCCCTAATGAAATACAAGCTGAGAGGAAGACGTATCACCAAAATAAGAACACTTGTACATCATATTCGGAAGATATGGAGGTCGCTACCAGTATCCTACGCTCAAAAGTTAGTCGAGAGTATGCCGAAACGATGTCAAGCTATAATTGCTAATGGAGGAGATTGGACACCCTACTAAGTAATAGCGTATTAGTGTTTTAGATGTAGATTCGATTCATATAAATTCTTTTACAAATATATAAATATCTACAGAAATATCGCCGACACTATCTTGTGGGACAGACTGTACGTATTGTAAACAGTAGAGGAATGCGTAATGCTTACCGTTTACTTCACTGAGAATAAACACTGCTTGAAGGACACTTTAATAGTTTGCAGGATAAGATAAACATGATAAGATTAGTATCGATAAATCGGTCAATCCGGCACGATGTATCCGTTTGAAGAGCAAGTCGATATGCTTCTTATTTATTATGGCGAATGCCAACAAAATTCTGTAAGGGCGAAAAACTTGTATGCTGAACGATATCCACATCGGTCTCAGCCTTCGCGTCAAACATTTAAAAATGTGTGTGATAAACTTAGGCAAACCGGTAGTTTAAGTGTTCGTAAAAGTGAACGCCAGAAACGAGTAATTAACGAAGAAATGGAAATCGGTGTGCTCGGAAGTGTATCTAGAAATCCTCATATTAGTTCGCGACAAATTGAACGCGAATCTGGCATTAGTAGGGGGAGCGTACTTCGCATTTTGCACCGTTACAAATTTCATCCGTACCATGTTAGTCTTCACCAAGAATTGCATGGGAACGACTTCATGAATCGCGTTGAGTTTTGTCAACCGATTTTTGAAAACCGATATTCATCAAAAAAAGGTGATGCTGTCTGTTTGGTGGGATTTCAAGGGAATCGCTTTTTTTTTAGCTTCCACCGAACAATACCACGATCAATTCTGAAGTGTACTGTCATCAACTGGACAAATTGAATGATTCACTAAAACAGAAAGGGCCAGAATTGATCAATGGAAAAGGTATAGAGTTCCACCAAGATAATGCGAGACCTCATACAAGTTTGGTAACTCGACAAAAACTTTTACAGCTACCACACCCACCATATTCGCCAGATCTGGCACCCTCGGATTATTACTTGTTCCGGTCTCTACAAAATTTTTTAGACGACAAAACCTTTACTTCAAATGAGGACGTTAAAAATCACTTGGATCAGTTTTTTGCCAGCAAAAATCAGAAGTTTTATGAGCGTGGAATCATGCTACTGCCAGAAAGATGGCAAAAGATATTGGACCAAAATGGAGAATATATAATTCAATAAAATATTTATACACTATAAGAAAATCGTCTTTCATTTTCACCAAAACAAACGAAATTACTTTCCGAACAACCCAATATTTAGAAATGAATTCGGTAGAATTACCATTTTACATAACAATGTACTCAATTTTATCATTTATAGTAAAAATCCCTATATACACGCTTCGCAATTGATGGTTAAAAGCTCACGATGAAGCTTCTTAGATTGGGTCAATAATTTTAACATCTGCAATATTAAAATTAGGAAGGTACGGATCTATAGAATAAACTAACTTAACATTACAACGTAATTTCCTAAAATAGTCTCGATCTAATCTCTACAAATATATTTCGACGAAAAATAAGAAAAAAGTCGTAAAAGAAAGAAACTTAAGTAACCTTATTACACGAAAGTATATCAAACCAACGCAAATTGCTATTCTTTTTCTGAGAAGATAACCGATAAAAACTAACAAGCGGCACAACAAAGGCTGATAATTACAATCCGACAAAAACCATCCAAGAGAACCTGCATATTTGCCCGCAGAAGTGGAAACTGCGCCACGAAGAAGAGAAGATTGCACAAAGAGAAGCTCGAAGCATACATCGATCGCGGTATTTACACCGAAACAAAGACAGCCAGGCCAAACAATCGAGAGTAATTGCCGGCTCGCGAAAAACCAGTCCTTGCTTCTTGTCTCGTTGAAGAAAACCGCCGGAAGAGTTGTTCCACTTCTCTAGACTACTTGTCAACACGTACTTCTTCTTCCTCCACCTCTTCTTCTTCTTCTTCTTCTCGAGTAGCTGTATCCCGCGAATCTGGCGAAACGCAGCCGAAGAAAGAAGAGATAAAAAAGGGAGAAAGAAAAACCGAAGCAGTAGCAACAGTAGCGACAGGGGCAGAGTGAATGCGATATAGCCTCGGGGAAAAAACATGATTCAATTTAAAAATCATTCGCTAAGTGCTCGGTGGCCCGTGTGAACGAACGAACGAACGAACGAACGAACGAACGAACGAACGAACGAACGAACGAACGAACGAACGAACGAACGAACGAACGAACGAACGAACGAACGAACGAACGAACGAACGAACGAACGAACATCCTTTTTTCTGACAGAAACGAGAAAACACCGACGACACGCTTCTTCCTCCCCGACAATTTACCGGGGTGTGCTTTAATTCACGATGTTCTGGCTGGCCAGCCGTGGCCATGAATTCCTTTTCGACGTTTCGACACCGAAATATGGCCGTTCGCCTGGAATTGGCAACCGGCGCGATTTTAATAGTCGCCCAGTTTAACGCCTCGGCCGCAAAAAACCGGGCAACAAGAGAGTGAAACAAAACGAAGAGAAGAAAGGGGAGAAAAAGGAAGAAGAAGGTGAGAGCAAAGGGAGAGAGAGAGAGAGAGAAGGAGTTACAGGATGGCGGTGGACCGAATACAGGAGGAGAAGAGTGTTTGCGCGTTTTGTACGTCTCCCCGCTAGAATCCTCCGGGACTGGTGCTCTAGGAAGGAGAGAGGGATGATTTGTAACTAGGTCGATCGGTTTTACGAGCACAGCCAGCCCCAGAAAATGTTTACCATTTGCGCGCTTGAAATTTAACGCCGAGATTCGGATAGTCTGTCGAGCCTGCGTGCACGAGTATGCTTGATTGATTGATTTAAATCTGTTTCGAGAGCGATACCTGATCGCCAGAAGAGCAAACTCACCATGCTGGATCCGTTCCTCGATCGAGACGGCATCATCAGAGTAGGAGGACGTTTGAAGCATGCTAGCATCCCTTTCGCACAGCAGCATCCAGTGGTACTTCCACGCTCTCATCATGTGACGTCTCTCATCATTCGAGACGATCACGTACGCAACCTGCATGCCGGAATTCAAGCCACACTCTACAGCGTCAGACAACGCTACTGGCCCATCGATGGTCGGAATCAGACAAGAAGAGTCATCCGGCAGTGCATCAAATGTTTTCGGGCCAATCCGCCCTCGACTGAATACATCATGGGCAATCTTCCGAAGGCTCGAGTCAACGAAGCTCGACCATTCAGCAACGTAGGCGTCGACTATTGTGGTCCATTCTACCTCAAGGAGAAAAAACTTCGGAATCGGAATAAAATCAAGGCCTACGTCGCAGTCTTCATCTGTCTCACTGTCAAGGCAGTACATCTTGAATTAGTCAGCGATCTGACCACTGACGCGTTCGTCGCAGCCCTACGAAGATTCATCGGTCGCCGAGGAAAACCACAAACCATCAGTTCCGACAACGGTACCAACTTCGTAGGGGCAAATAATCATCTGGAGGATCTGCAACGCCTAATCAACTCGCAGGAGCATCAACAGAAGATCAACTCCTACCTAACCGACGAAGGAATCAAATGGAGCTTCATTCCACCACGGTCGCCACACTTCGGAGGCTTATGGGAAGCAGCGGTGAAATCCTTCAAACATCATTTAAGGCGAGTTGTAGGAAATGAATTATTAACATTCGAGGCGTTCAATACCCTTCTTATCGAGATCGAAGCCATTTTGAATTCAAGGCCTCTCACCCCCATGTCAATTGATCCGAGTGACCTTAACGCCTTACGCCTTAACGCCAGGCCATTTCTTGATTGGCAGTGCATTAACCACACTTCCGGAGATTGATTTCAGGGAAACACCATCCAACCGGCTCTCAGTTTGGCAGCATCTGCTGAAAATCAAACGAGATTTCTGGACAAGATGGTCCAAGGAATACCTGAATGAACTCAACATCCGGCATAAATGGACCAGCGGCAACCATGGAATCGGAGAAGGAACCCTCGTCGTCATCAAGGAAGACAACGTTCCTCCCATGCACTGGGCTCTAGGCAGAGTCTCCACCGTCCACCCTGGCTCCGACTGCATCATCAGGACCATTAAACGAAATGTCCAACGCTTAGCACCGTTACCAGTAGACGTATGTAAAAGCGGAGATAATTGTGGTTGATCGGTATCCTCTCAACGGGGGGAGTATGTTCCGTCCATCCGACGGAATATACATGCTATTATATTTTTCTGCTTCATCAGATTGCCAAAGTATTCCTTTTCTCCTAATGAGAACATTGTTCGACATTCAAGCATTGTCACAATTGAGAGGATTAATGTTCAGTGACACAATAAGGTTGTTCACGACATGGATTAGAGCATGTTAACACCTTGCTCGTTAACACCTTACCATAAAGTCTTTCTTTATGGTTTTCGACACCGCGGGACACCACGAACCCTCGTGGTAGCCTACCTGCCTCGAATCAGGTCCCGTAACCTTTGGGCTCTTTCTCCCACTAGCGCACTACCGCGCTTTCCCTTTCCTTCGAAAATTGGGAAAAGTTCTAGCTGCACCCGCACCAATCGGAACGATTTGGAGTTTCGTCTCCCACCAAAATAAATCCACCAATCACCGCTTTGCTTTGGCATTCTGAGAAGTATAAATATTGGCAGTCTCAGAAAAAGAGTACCAGTGTGAATCTAAGAGACAGTACATGACAGTACATACTCAATATAGAATCGTATTAGACCAGTATCCGACAGTATATCGCATATATACGCGAATACAAACACGTAAAAAGAGTACATCACATATAGTCAGTGATCGGTACTCAGGTAACACAAGACGTCAAAAATTTTATGGAGTGATGAAAGTAAGTTCAACTTATTCGGAAATGACTCCAGAAGTAACGTACGACGTCCAATTGGACAACGATTTAATGTCAAGTACAGTCTGTTTCACAAGAGCGTGGACGCGATATCTGTGAAATTTGATACCCAATACAGCAAAGATTGTGCCAGTCCAAACATACAATGTCTCCTCTAATACGCAATAGCCCCAATTTCGCCCATTTCGAGATGAGTGGCGTATACGCTAAACGATTCGAAGCAGTATTCTTGTGCCAGCACTCGAAAGGGCCAAAAATGAGTGTTAGAAATGCAGCAAAATATCTGCACAAGTCTCGCGAATTTGTAAATAAGTGGGTGCAACGTTATAAAGAGATAAATTGTGTCGATGATCTCCCTGATCGAGGTTCGAAGCGAGCTACGACAAAAAGGGATGATAAAGCAATTCTGCAGCTTTTTTCGAAAAATCCGACACTTTCCTTACGTAAAGCGCAAGCAATGTTAGCAAAAAAGGGCATAAAAATAGGCATAGTAACAATTAAACGTCGGTTGGAAGAAAATAAAGTTGCTTGGCGTAGTACACTTTCGAAGCCGTTGCTTTCAACAAAGCACGTCGGAAAACGGTTGGCGTGGGCACATGAAAACGTTTGTCGTGATTGGAACAATGTCGTGTTCAGCGATGAGTCATCTTTTTGGGCTTGGACTCCTATAAAACGAGCCTGGTCTGCCCATGGAAATCCAGTCATCCAAAGAAGCATTAAACACCCAATAAAAGTTCATGTTTGGGGGTGCTTCAACAGTCGGGGTTTCGGAACTTTGTGCGTCTTTACGGATAATTTAAATGCCCAGAAGATGCTTAAACTGTACCAAAGGGGTCTCTCAGTATCGGTGAAACATTGGTTTAAAAGAACCAGAGATCATTGGATACTTCAAGAGGACAACGACCCCAAACACCGAAGCCGCCTTTGTACGGAGTGGAAAACAGCGAATAGTGTCAACGTGTTGGATTGGCCATCTCAGTCCCCCGATGCCAATCCAATCGAAAATGTTTGGTCTCTCATGAAGTACAAACTCCGAGGAAAGCGTATTTTAAAATTGAAGACGCTAGTTCGCCGTATTCGAGAAATATGGAGATCTCTTCCTGTCTCATACGCTGCAAAGCTGGTTGAAAGTATGCCCAGACGTTGTGAAGCAATAATCGCTAATGGTGGTGACTGGACACATTATTAAGCAAGTGCGTATTAGTTCTTTAAATGTACTTTCGACCTATACAACCTTTTTTACAGAAAAGATTTATTTGCACTCAGATATCGCGTCCACGCTCTTGTGGAACAGACTGTAACACAAGGTGACAGTGAGTCAAGGTGCTGCCTCAGTTAGTGAGACAATAAAGTGAAAGTACACGTGGCTCTTCGTGCAAGAGAAAGGTTTCTATTTAGTTTAAACCGCGTTTCAACTATGTTTTCAAACGACAATATCGAAACAACCACGAATATCTTAGCTTAGTGTCTACTAACAATAATAATCTGCTGCACAACATTAATTTGTCGTGCAGCGTAGAGAGAAGCATCGACGCAACGTAAATCGTTTCGGTGCAGCACCTACAATACATTTTTATGGTCCTTCGAGCCGGATCCTGTGAAGTGATCTGAAACCAACAAGTGCAAACGACTGTAAAATGCCAGTGAAGTGACTTCTACAATCTACGTTCAGCGACAAATATATCCCCGTAGAAAGTAACAGTCCACCGCTACATCATGGCAACAGACGATGCACAACGCCTCAAACATCTCATCAGACAGAGAAGTGGAATCAAATCACACATCACCATGTTCGAGAGATACGTGGGTTGCCTTTTAAGTTTTTACAATCGAACAATAGGTGGCGTTAATGTGTTGTGGCACCACTGTATTTGTGAACATTGACGTTTGTTATTGCGAAGCCAGTGGCAATTTAGAAATTTACTGAGTAAGTTGTTGATAGTGAACGTTTAAAAGAAGCAAGTTTGTGCAAAAATGGAAATCACCCGTGAAGGTTTACGTTGGATGATTTTTTATGATTTTAAAAAAGGCCTTACTCAACAACAATGCATAGAATCGCTTCGTGCAACTTTTGGTAATTCAGAGAAGACTGTTTACAATTGGTTTGCAGAATTTCGTCATGGTCGTGCGTCCGTCAGTGATGAATGTCGAGAAGGTCGGCCAAAATCGGTTGTCATTCCGAGAAACATCGATGCTGTGCGCAACATGAGTAAAGAAGATCGGCATGTGACTTACAGACAGATAGAGGCGTCTCTTAGGATATCGCAGACTGCAATACAATCGATTTTGCATGAACATTTAGGTGTGAGAAAGATATGTTCCAGATGGATTCCGCATAATTTGACCGAAGCGCAAAAAAAGGGTCGTGTTGATTGGTGTCAGGAAATGTTGAAAAAATTCGACCGAGGACGTTCAAAATCCGTATACAACATTGTTACAGGAGACGAAACTTGGATATACTCGTATGAACCTGAAAGCAAACAACAGTCTACTGTTTGGGTGTTTAACGATGAACCCAATCCCACTAAAGTTGTTCGTTCACGGAGCACTTCCAAGAAAATGATCGCTTGTTTCTTCGGTTGTACTGGACACGTCGCAACCATTCCATTAGAGGATCGAAGAACTGTTAATGCCGAATTGTATACAACAATTTGTTTGCCAACGGTCTTCGATGAAGTAAGGAAAAAGAACAAAAAACGTCGCATCATTCTTCATCACGACAATGCCAGCTCCCATAAAGCACATCAAACAACTGAATATTTGAAGGAGAAAAACATCGAATTAATGTCTCACTGCCCGTATTCACCCGATTTATCGCCTAATGACTTTTTCTTGTTCCCCACTGTCAAACAAAAGATGCGCGGACAGCGATTTTCATCACCTCAAGAAGCAGTTGAAGACTTTCAAAACCATGTTTCTACGATATCAGCTTCAGAGTGAAAAAAATGTTTCCAGAATTGGTTTGAGCGTATGCAAAAATGTATAGACCTTAAAGGCGAATATTTCGAAAAGCAATAAAACACTTTGTTTCGAACTTGTTCGTTTCTGTTTCACTTTTTGTAAAAACTTAAAAGGCAACCCTCGTATCTGGGAGATTATGAACAACAGCCTAACCCCGCGATGCTGAGGAGTAGATTTCAAAGGATGAGAGAAGTCTACTTAACCTTCGAAGAAATTCAGGCGGCGATCGAAGTACTACAAGAAGACGCTGATCACGAAACTGAGCGCTTCGAAGTGGAGGAGCGATACATAGAAACCAGTGTTACAACGGACAAATGGCTGACCGAATCCCAGCCGCCAGAACCCAACGTCGCCGCAGCAGCCAGTTGCTGCACCCCTGCACCGTCATCAACAGGACTGCAGGTAAACTTACCGAAGGCTGATCTACCAAACTTTAGTGGTAAATTCGAAGAATGGCTATCGTTCAAGGACAAATTCACATCGATGATCGATAGTCAAGATGCCTTCAGTAAGGTACAAAAATTCCATTATTTGCGATCAGCTCTGTCGGGTGAAGCTGCGAAGGTCATCGCAGCCATGGAAACGACAGAGCAGAATTATAGCAAGGCTTGGCAACTGCTCCAAGATACCTATGCTAACGAAGGTCTGATTATTGCACGCCACACCGATCTCTTGGTCGAAACGCCGTCAGTAGAACAAGAGACAGCTGCAGGACTCCGCGACTTCGTGAGTCACGTCTTGCAGCATTTGAGATCGCTGACCACACTCAACGTTCCAGTCGAACACTGGGATCATCTCCTGATGTCAATTCTGCTGCCCAAGCTCGCGCAGCAGACTAGGATGGCGTACGACAGCACGCTGAAGGATAAGGAGACGCCAAAGATTAGCGGTCTCATGGAATTCCTCCGCCAACGATCACGGAGGCTGGAGACGACCGCGACCAGTAGGACAAACACCCAAACCAGCAGAGCATCACCAAGGGTATCACCCACGCCGCAGAGAAGACAAACAAAGAGAATTCCCAACATTTCTTCGAGGAAGAATTCTAAAGTCTTCGTCACCACCACGCCATTAAAAAATTGCGCGTTGTGTAAAGACAAGGCGCATACGATACATCGCTGCGAAGAATTCCACGCGCTATCCGTCGGCGAAAGAATCAACGCGGCAAGGAAGGAAAAATTGTGCTTTAAGTGCCTTCGGACTGGACATTCAACCCAAGAGTGTACTTCGTCCCAGTGCAGGATCTGCAACTTGGAACACAACACACTCCTACATCTGCCGAGAAGTGGGAGAAGATCGCCGACGCCACCGAAGAAGCATGGATCGACGACAGCTGCGGCAGCCACCAGCGCAACATGACGATCGACGCCAGGAAGTCGCGGATGCACTTCCCTTTCAGCTCGCACAGCATCCACCGAGTTGATGACAACAGCAAGGCTAAAGGTATACGACTCCTTAAAGAATTTAGTTTGTTGCAGGGCCCTATTGGATACGTGTTCAACGGCCAATTTCATGTCTGAAAAATTGGCGACCAGACTTCATCTGAAGCGAAGAAGATGCTCCATCCCGATTGGAGCGCTCAACCAGATGACAACATCAAGCAGCCACATCGTGACGACATCGATACGATCTAACATCAACGGATGGGAGAAAAAGCTCGATTTCTTCGTCATCCCGAGTATTTCGGAGATGGAGCCACAGCAGCCCATTAACAGAAATTCTGTCCAGATTCCAGCAAATCTGAAACTTGCTGATCCAGAATTCCATAGGCCCGCACCTATCGACCTTTTGCTTGGGACTGGTCCAACATTGGCCTTGTTCAGCGTCGGACAAATCAAGCTGTCGCCGCCACAAGGGCCGGACCTTATTCTTCAGAAGACACTGTTAGGATGGATTCTTGGAGGTAGCATCCTGTCTCCAACAAGCTGGGACAACGAGAAGTCTTCAACCTCCACGGACATCCACCTCGAAAACGACAGATGTCATCAAACATCTCACTGGTCCAGCGACGCTGAACAGTCTACAACGAGCCGAGACAACAATGCAGCATCAAAGAATTGTCAACTCAGTCGATTGGAATTCGACATGAAACAATTCTGGGAGATCGAAGAGGGACCATCAACCCCTCATCTCTCCTTGGAAGAAAGGGCCTGTGAGAAACACTTTCAGCAACACGTACATCGAGACGTTACTGGAAGATACATAGTTGCCCTTCCATTTAATGACAACAAAGAGCGCTTAGGACATTCACGCGCCAGAGCTTTGAAACGGTTCAACGCACTTCAACGCCGTTTCAAGCAAGATTCTGTCTTCAAGGAACGCTACGCAGCAGTCATGCAGGAGTATCTGGACCTCGGACACATGTCACTAGTACAAGATCCAACAGATACCGATGGTTTCTTTTTACCTCATCATGCAGTAATCAAGGAAACCAGCATGACGACGAAGCTTCGTGTAGTCTTCGATGGTTCGGCAAAAACCGACTCTGGGATCTCTCTCAACGAAACCCTTATGGTCGGTCCAACCATTCAAGACGATCTGGTGTCGCACATACTGCGATTTCGTCTCCATAATTATGTGTTAAGTGGTGACATCGAGAAAATGTATCGACAGTTCTTAGTGCGCGATGAAGATCGAAAATTTCAACGAATCCTTTGGACGGATTCAAGTGGTGAAGTGCAAACGTTTCAGCTCAACACTGTTACCTTCGGATTGACACCCGCTCCATTCTTGGCCACTCGCTGCCTTCGACAATTGGCAGACGACGAAGGACATCGCTACCAACATGCAGGAAGTGTTTTGAAACGCGATTTGTACGTGGACGACCTACTGACAGGTGCAGCCACCCTCCAAGAAGCTATGACTCTCAGGAACGAACTCATCGACCTTCTGCAACGAGCAGGTCTGAGCATACGTCAATGGGCATCGAACGCACCTACGCTTCTCCAGGGACTACCTGACGGTCATGTCAACGTGAAACTTCAATCTCACGATGACAAAACATTGAAGACACTTGGAGTCGCTTGGAATTCGCAACAAGACTCCATAGTGTACACAGTGAAATCCATCACCACGAACACAAGAATCACGAAGAGGATGATTCTTTCGGAAATTGCAAGAATTTTCGATCCCCTGGGATTACTTGGTCCAGTCATCATTACTGCAAAACTTATCATGCAGAAGCTGTGGCAGCTCAAGTTGGATTGGGACGAATCTGTGCCCACCAGCATCCACACTACCTGGACCAACTATCACACTCAATTGAATCTATTGAACGACTTGGCTTTCGAACGTCATCTCCTTCTCCCGAACGCAATCAACATCCAGCTGCACGGATTCTGCGACGCCAGCGAGAATGGATATGGAGCCTGCATTTATCTTCGCTCCAGTGACAAAAGTGGTAAAGTTCAGTCCAAATTATTGTGTGCGAAATCTCGTGTCGCTCCACTCAAGGCAATGACCATACCTCGTCTGGAGTTATGTGGAGCCCATCTCCTAGCGAAGCTGTATCACAGTGTCCAACGGTCCATCCATGTGAAGATCAATCAAGCTATCTTCTGGACCGATTCTACGATCACCCTACATTGGATCAACTCTTCACCACATCTGCTGAAAACCTTTGTGGCAAACCGAGTTTCAGAAATTCAGGACAAGACAGCTTCCAACGTGTGGAGACACGTTCCATCCGAGGACAACCCCGCAGATTCGTTGTCACGGGGTCAACTTCCAGCCGACTTCATCCAGAATCCGATCTGGAAAACCGGTCCCATGTGGCTCATAGATGAAGAATCCATCTGGCCACAACTCGACTTGCCTAGCCTCACCGTTGTTCCAGAGACAAGAGCCAAAACTTGTTTGGCAACGAGATCAGCTCCATTGGAACTTCTTCAGCGATATTCATCAATCGCTAAGCTTCGAAGAATCGTCGCTTACTGTCTCCGCTTCAACCGAGACAACCACTTCAAGGGATTGTTGTGTCCACAAGAAATATCTGCTGCTAATAAAACCATCCTACGCTTGGTGCAACAAGAATGCTTTGCCGAGGAAAATCAGGATCTAACTCAGGGACGAAGAGTTCATCG